CCCCCCCCCCCCCATTGCTCCCCTGTCATCCCTAAATATTCGCTGGGTAGAACTGGTTTGGTTTACTGACTCATAGCTGTGCACTGGGGGTATTATGTGGAAGGCTGCTAGTGCTTAGTCCTTTCGCTGTATCTATGTAACATTGGTGCTGGGAAGAGAGAGCTCTGGAGAGGGTGGGTAGGACACCCACAACAAACAGCATTGGAATAACTTCTCTCCCATGCTGCCCACTGGCTTAGCTATGTTGTGAAGAAGAGGGGTGAGCTGTCGGGTCGAGAGGGCGTCGAGTCTCCTGGCTCAGAACCCGGGGCAAGGCAGCCGGGAGGGTTCCCAGCTTGGCCTGTGATTTTAGGCAAGCCACAAATGCTCTGGGCCTCATCTGGGCCATTAGCACTTCTCTAGCCCGCCCAGGTGATCATGACCTTTGCTGCTCGAAAAGCACTACGAGGCATGTGGATGAAGGCAGCCAGAAAAAAGGAGAGGGATGAGTGGACCTAAAGATCGCGCCTTGTCCAGGGGGCCCGTAACTTCATAGGAGAAGATAATATAGAAGCAAAACAAGCTGGCTCTTGTGAGATTTTTCTGGGTCTTTTGATCCTCGCTTCTGGGTGTTACCACAAGAGGATTCAGTTAAGTCTGAATTCATTATTGGCACGTCATTATTAATGCACATCAGGCATGTGCCCCTCTTTTGTGCTGTACCCCGGGACAGGCAGTCCACACGGGCTGGTGGCCAGCTCTGACGGGGACCACGCTGACGGGTGATGTGTGACAACGCACAACAGCTTTGGACCCAGAAGCAATGAGCAGCAAGCCGGCACCATCCTGAGACCCTCGCACCCTTGCTGGCTGTGGGCTGAATGCGTCTTAGGATTCAGGCTTGCTGACTCTTGCCATTTAACGAGAAGCATTTGAGGGAAAGAGCGGCACTTGGGGCTCACTCCTTCAAGAGTTTCTGTCCCTACGGCAGTTACTTGAAGGGCTCCTCTCTCCGGGTGCTGGGATAGACGGGCTTCTAAAATATACAGCCAATTATACAGCAGAATTTATTAGATTTTTATTCTGGTGCAAGTTAGGTGGTGGGGGTGGGGAAGAAGGAGTGAACTCCGGAAAGAAAGCCATAGCAACTGAAATGTAAGTGTGAGGATTAGAAGTCCCCATAAATATACCTGACTCTGCCATCACTGTTAATTAAATGCAAGTCATGAAACACGGGCACGGAGTGTGTCAGTGACAAGGTGCTGCGTTCAGAGACGGGAAGGAAGAGAAAGTGGGGGAGAAGTCGCTACGCTGCCCTGGGCGGAGGTGCAGGGAGGGTGAAAGCCCCATGGGTAACTCAGTGTGAGCCCCTTGCAGCCAGGCAGAGGGATGGGCCATCCCATCAGCTCTTAATGCTTTCACTTCCATCCTCTTGTCTTCATGGGTTTTGCTGCCAATTATGCAGTGCTCCTTACGTTGCTGCTTTTCCTCCCCCCAGCCCACCCTGTTTCACTGAGGTGAAAGGAGAGCAAGGGTGGATGCAAAGGCTCTGTTGCAAGAGGAGAATGGGACATGTCTCCTGTGAACTCTGCCCTGTCCTGCAGCCTGCCGTGGGACTTGGCTCCCGTGTTCTTCTGTTCCTTCTCCCCTCACCATGGTGTGCCATCCTTTGGCTCCTGTAAGCCCCCAGATTTGTGCGGCCCAGAGGGCTCAGATACCAGGATGAGGCAATGTGTTAATTGAATCATCCTGTAAATTGCTTCCTCATTTGCTCCCCCTCCAGCTTCTCCAAGCGCTTGCTGTTCCCGTCCCTGGTAATCTCCCCGGCATGTACTCCATCAGCGCTCCTGTGGGGCTTCTCTACGTAGGATATAAAGCCCGTAGTTCAGCACTATCCATCTAATATCTTCTGACTGGTTTTAATCATAGCATTTTCCATTTAATTGGGAAGGCAGGCACACTTTGCATATTAATACTGTGCAGCCTGCACCTCCTCAGCATTAAAAGCCTAGACGACTGGGATGCTCTGCTCAGCAGCTCATGGAGCTGCAGGACAATCTCTCAGTGGCTGTCCAAGCAGAGGGTGCTCCTGGCAGGGCTGGTTTGCATCTCCCATGGGTTCCAGATCTGTGCAAAGCGATGAGAAACACCATTTGTATGGCCCTGTCCTTCAATAAATGTGCAGTCGTAGCCCTGTCTGTGTGTCCATTGTTTCTTTGAGATCATAACACTGTGGTCTCCTTGTCCATTCAGGGCAGAGCTATGAGAATAGTAACAGTTGCCAAAGTCCTTAGTGGACTTCAGGGCAGGGTCAATACTCAGCTTGGGGGTAGGGCTTTTGCTTTTGCATCTGCCCAGCTAAGTCACCAGAGCCTTCCTGCCTGTCCTCCCCCTGAGAAAGCTCTACTCACTGCACCACAATGGCACTGGGGGGGTGGGGGGGGTGTCGGTGGTGAGAAGGGCAGTCTGTTCAGCAAGCAACTTTCTTCTGTCTCCTGGTTCCCCATTAGCCAGGCAAGTCACTTGCCTGTGTTCGCTATCACTGAAGAGGACCCATGACAGTTCTGAACAAATTAAGGCGGCCGGCTAGCCTCCATCCTCGGGCTTGGATGCCCCATTTATTGAAACAGGCTGTTGAAATAGCTGATCAGTCTGCTCTAACAGCACCCGTCGCACTTCACAGAACTATGTCCTATCTTCTGTGGAAATGGCAGTCATCATTCCAGAGCCTGGTTATCTCTAGGCTGGGTGCGTATCTGTGTCCTGATCACTGTGGTGTCTTTAGACACACCCACACACTTTTTTTGCTTAAAAGCACAATTCCACCGTGCATTCACTATCTTTCATTCTGTTCTGTTCTGATGGTTAATGATTTTGGATGGCACTGCTGGTTGGGATAGTCCACTAATTTGCAGACAGTTGTTGCATCCACATTTTGCAACTTCCTCCTGGGATTTGTCTCTGAATTCCACCTTTGGGGGAGAGGAGATATTAAAACATGTTTTGCTTCTGAACTTCTGGTTGTGAAGGCAAGGAAGAGAGAATGCTATGCAGAATCAGGGCAGGGCATGGGCCACCTGCTTCGGGTACTGCCATACTGATTTGCTAATGACCCTCAGTCCTGATATGCAGGGTGTCCTGCTTTTTCTGCCCTGGGGCCTGCAATAGCTAACCCACTGCCCCTTGGAAACCAGAGTTATGGTCTTTTTTGAGCAGATGTCACATGCCAGAGAGTGCTACACTTTGGGGAAGCTGATAAAAACCCGTGAGGGACGGACCAGATTTGTTTTCACCAGAGACTTATAACCAGCTTTGAATCTAGTGCATCAACACAGTGCAACACCTTTGACTCCAGCTCAAGGGTGATGGAGTGGGACTAACACGAAGGAACAGGTGGTGATTTCCTAGCAGGTTACAGTATCTGGTACTGCTAAGCCAGCTCTGCCCAGCTAGTAGGTCTAGCTGTAGACTGACACAGATACCACAGGAGCTGAAACCCCATGAAACGTCAGAGGTGTGAAGCAATGATGCGTCACACTGTTGCATTTTGGATGCTAAATATCTCAGTGCAGGTATTCAAACCAGGGCCTTCTGTGCACCGCTGTTTGCCAAGGCCCCTTGGCACCTAATTGTGTGCAGTAAAATGGTCTCTGGCTTGTTCTGGAGCATGGATCTTAAGCCAATAGGTGCCTAATGTGAGATTTTTAAAAGCACCTAAGTGACTTAGGAGCCCATAATAGGGCACTGGTTTGGGGGCACACAGGAGAAAGCAAATAGAAAAGGAGATGCAGGAGTAGGACTCATGGGGGGCTCTCTGTACCAGCTTGGCAGGAAGTTTGGTAGGAGATACCTACAGGGATAGAGGTTTTATCAGAAAGAGGCTTTCAGAGAGGACCTACAGAGGCTGTGAGAGACGCGTTTTGAGTTGAGTTGCCTTTAATCTGTTTTCCTAGATAAGGAAAGGGACTAAAACTCTGCTTGTGTTGGGAGCTTTATACTGCGTAGTGGCTAGGGAACTTAACGGAGCTGCCGTTCCACTTTCAGAAGTGACTTAGACACCTAGGAGTCTAAACCCTTACCCAGTGCCTGGGGCTTAGGCTCTGAGGTCACATAGGCATTTTGGGTAACGTTGCTTCCAAGGGCCAGAGGTAGAAACTTTCCTGGGAATAAGCCTGAGACTAATAGCGTGGCCACATCCCAGGGCTGGCTAGGCTAGAAATCTGAAGCTTTCAAGTGAAGCAACCAAGCCTGATTCCCAATACCTTGGAGGGGGGGAGTTGGCTGCATGTGTCTCACCAGCAGCAGGCAGAGTGTACACACACCGCGCCTTCAACACTGAAAAGCATCTGTTTGAAGCACCGCAGTGGAAACAAGAGAATAATGTTCCTGGCACTCGATGCCAGCCAGGGATACAGAATGGAGGATGAGTGTGAGCGGTGGCTGCTTTTTCAGAGGCTCTGGTTTGCTCTGCCTCTTTCCAAGACCTGGTAGATTTTTTGGAGTGTCTGGGCTAATTAACATTGACCCACAGCGGTGAGCCTCCCACAGAGCTTTAGAGCGTTCTCCGATGAATAGCGGTAGCCACAGGGATCTTGTATATTAAGTGTCTTCGGAGCACGTTGACACTGGGGAGGACGAGTGTGGCAGAAAGAGCAGGGCCTGGGGTATCGGGGCATCTGCATGTTTTCCCCATTTCTGCCACTGTATTGCTGTGTGGCCTTAGGCAATTCACTTAGTGTTTCTGTTCCTTATTTTATCCATCTAGAAGACATGCATAATCATATTCCCCATCTTCCCTCACTGGAGTACTGTGAGTCTTAATTAAAAAGGGCTTATGCATTAATTAGAGTGCTTTGGAGGAAAATCACGGTAAAAGTGCAAAGTTTATTGCTTTTAAGGTGGGGGACAAATAAAGATATATTGTTGACGTTTTTCCAGATAAGTGGCTGTG